TGATGACACTGGTAGCCTGGCTGGCTCAGAGGCTGGCATTTCCCGTTCACTGCCTTCTGTTTTCGGTGAGGAAGACAGAAATAGAATGTCCCAGGTGAAGTTAGACGAACGTCACCATGTACTTAGCAAGTTTATTGTTTCACAGAATCGATAAGAGAATCGGAATTGTGAAATTCTTATCAAATTCCAACCCTACTTGAATATCTCTAAATAAATAACCCAGAAGTCACCATCCTGGTGTATAGTAAAGACCCATCTCTACTGCTGAAGTAAATGATACATTTAGCAAAGTAACGCTAAAGTTTAAGGTGCATTCAGACTGAGCGAGGAGTCCTTGGTGATTTCCACTTACCCCCGGGAAGTTAATGCGCCCTGTATTTCAGATGCAGTGTTTACAACCCGGACTGCCCCATCAAATGAAAGGAACTTCAGCTGCGGGAAGTTGACCCCCATCCAACCTGACAAAACCCCTCAGCAAATAGACTTAGTGCTCTTTGGTGCAGGTTTGTGCACTTAAAATTATAAAAAATGACAAATTAATAATAAAAAAAAGATTATGTGTGCTACTTTGGTTTCAGAGACATTAAATATTTTTTAGTCACCCAGCGGTCAACTATTCCCCCATTTAGCTCTGAACTGAATCAAAAATGATCTCCTTTTCAGTGCTACTTGATTTGTGCATGTAAAACTGTTGTTTGGGCTGATTTGGTTTTTAAGAATTTTCATCTTTGCGGATGACATCACCATCAAAGCAGATGTAAGTGCTGCTCTGTGCTGTTGTTGAACATAACAGCAGCCATGTTTACCTCATATTGTGGATTGAATGATTGTTGTATTCAGTAAATTACCAGCTTTCCAAAGACTTCAGTTTAGATCTGCCGTAACCCTTGGCAACCCCATGGCATTCCCTATCAAAGTCTCGCTTTCACAATAAAAGCACTGGTAAACTTTAACATCACAGACGGCTGCTAAATAGTTCTCTATGAACTAATTTTTAATTGCCTTGGGGAGCCATCGTTGTTTTAAAATGCCCAAAAAGCACTTCCTCGCAAAGGAACCAATGCTGGGCAGTGGGCAGTGACAGACGGGGTTCTGTGCTGGAGGTAAGTGAGGATGATGAAAAGTATTTATAGGCTTTTTACAAAGCCACCTAAAAACCTGTTGAGAGCATTCCTTATTTCTAAATTTGTTAACATTAATTATCTCTATTCCATTTTAAGTGAAAACAGCTTCGCCTACAACCAGCTCCCGATAGGATGCAGTTTTGCGATTTCACAAAAAAGATCAACTCGTTTTCTTCAGCAATCACCTCTCTGTTCTCTCCGTGTGGTGCAGCTGTTTAACAACACCTCAGCTCTATCAAGTAGCATGAGGTGAGAGCGGAGAAGTGAACGCCTCACGGTGTGGGATCACTGCTGGCTGCTTCCCCGCCGCTCCCCACGCAGTTTGCATAAGGATACTATGTAAATCCATGGCCCTTGCTCTGTCTGAATGGACCTTTACTCTGTTTTGTGTCTGGTTTGCTCCTCAACCTCAGCAGAAATATCTTATCTTTGCCTCTCAGGATTAGTCCCCACCTGTTCTGCTTTATCTCCACTTCACCATCTCTGCATTCATGCAGAGGGGGGTTATCTACTCAATCACACAGCCACTAGGTCTGTTCTTCAGGGGTAATACTTGTGCAGCTACCTCCTAGTAGAGAATGCAATGATAACTACAAGCAAGGATAAACAGACACTTTACTTTCAAAATGCACAGCCTCAGTTGAGCAAGCAGCATTCAGACTTTCTTTTTACAGGGGATATTACAACCAAAGGGTTTTTTTTAGTTCCCCCAGTAAAATCTGAATTTGTCTAGGATCTATTTAAAGTGGCGGTTAAAGTGGCAGATAAACCAGTTAAGGTGGCTATGAAGGTGGCAAAGTGATCAGAATCTAGAACAACTGGAGGCAGCTAGAAGGTTCTAGCCTTTCTGACCTTACAAAGCCTTGATTCCCTAAAATAAAGTGGAGAGTTTGTCTGCAATGATTTTTTTGGTTTCTGTTCTATTAATCCCATTATGTGATCTGAATTAGCAGAAGACTATGCATGGACGGAAATAGATTTTCATTTACTTACACTCCATTTTATTCTGCTTTTTAAATATCATTAAAACTTCTAAACGTTACTTTAGCGTATTTGATAATCTCAGTTTAGTGTTATTTTGAAGCAAACTAACCAGAAAAAAATGCAGTAACTTTACCAAAAGTCTATATTTTCACACATTAATGCAAGTAAAAAAAATGGACATTATAGACCATGAATCTCCTCAGATAGCAGATTCCCTCTCCACTTGCTCAGACACGAGTTCCATCATGTGCTTCCTATAACCAGAAACTGACTCATGTGCAAGAAAGGAGTTTTTCTTTTCAAATGGTTCACACGGGCAGGAAAGTAGCACACAGAGCCAGTGGGCATGAAACTGATCACCCATGATGTCTTTGGAGATCTAACTTGTCCAGCTGACAGTTTGGCAAAAAAGAGAAGGGGAAAAAAACATAAAAATGTGCAAAAAATGAGGAATTTGGACCCCGAGAACACAGCCTCTCTGTTCACTCTTGATTTTCAAGTTAAAGAATGATGTTCTTTCAGTTTAAGTGTTGGAGGATTTTGTTCTTGAAAAATGAAATTTCAACAGCTTTTAATGAGAGCAGCACCAAAAGGAAGAACAAAATGCTACATACATCATTATATGTATATTTAATCTGATTTTATACATTAACCTGAGGCTCTGAGTAGATAAGAAGAAAAAAAATCTTTTCAAACTCATAATGAACAAATAATTGAATCAAATCTTCACACAAGGTCATGTTGTTTAGATGGAGCCATGTTTTTACAGGAATACCCTCCAGAAGTCTGACAGCACCCGATTAATATTTTAAATGTAAAGACAGAGAGCTTCCAGGATAATACTACATTACAGCCAGACGTTCTATGCATTCAAATAAATCCTGCTGCTCTTACTGTCTTATCTGGTCCTTTGAGTTGTGTGTGCTGAACGCCTGATCCGGTGAAATCGCCAGCGGGAGCACTAAAACCAGTTGAAATGAATTCTTGAGTATTAATTATGAGCTATAAAACTGAACACTGCTGCTTCTTGATTATGCACACTTCAAGCTGAACAGAGGCCTGCTGGGCACGGCATGTGATCCCTCTGCACACATTAGTTAACATGCCAAAGTTAGGTCCGGGCGGGAGAACAACGGAGAAGGAAGAGAAAGCAGATCTGCTAAAGATGAGACGATCAATAGAAGCAATCCTTCTTGCTCCTTTACTACCTCCTAAACCCAAAAACATCTGGGTTAAATCAGCAAATTTAGTATAATTTTAATTATGGAGTACAACTCCACCTAAGAGATGTCCTAAATTACCATTTAGTGCAGATACACCGCATAAAATATCCAAAAATTTGTAGTTTTTTCTTAAAATAAGTATTACCTTTTAATTTGAATAGGTAAATAAGATGATCTGACCATGAAATTAGTATTTTACCCTGAAAATCAGATAACTAAATGTAAATCGTTTTGTTCAATTGGCAAAGTGTCTCATTTACCTGCTAAATTCAAGAAGAAATGCACTTATTTTAAGAAAAAAAAATACTTATTTGTATTTCATTTTTTTGCAGTGTATGACATATAAAACACTTAACATGAACATAATTCATCCATAAAACACTATTGGTAGAGCCACCAGAGAGCTCCCATTAACCCTAAAGCAGATTTTAATGACAATAAAACAAATCTGTCATTCTGTTATGTTCTGTTTTTGTTAAAATTGTACTAAAAAAAACTGCTATTCAGACACATTCGGAAAAAATTTACCAATTTGTGACTGACTAACAGCTGGCAGTGCTTTCCCCTTAATTTAGTAATAAGTAGAACCAGCATCTAATAGTAAACTGACCCACATCCTGACTCCTTTGGTTCTGATTTCTGCACCACTGTCTTGTAGCCTGATAAAGTTGATTTATTAAGTTCCATTGTTTGAACAATCTGATTATGACTCCCTCCAGTGCAACGGGAGTTGAGTCGGAGGTTTTTTTTAGTGCTATGTCACATCATCTACTCTGTGAAAAAACAACTGCCTTTAATTATCAAGGTGTGAAACATCCGCAAAGCTCCTTGGTGTCTGATACTATCTACTAGGAGCCAGAAGTGAGAGGAATAAATTTAGCTCAAGTCACTAATGAGGCTGACTTGTTGCATTTAAATTGCCGAGTTTAAAATTAGTTATTCATGATCGGAGAGAAGTCGGCCTACTCTGCAGTTGCACACTTTTATTAAAGCAATAGCTGTGATATATGCTGGTAAAGAAAAATTGATGATTTACTGTATTTCATTACATCCTGTGTTTTAGCTCTTGGCTTTGTTGCAGATCATTGCTTGTATTGACATATCATAAACCTATTAACTATGTTTCACCTCTTCCATAAAGATCACTTTAAACTCTACATATCTCCTAGCTTTAATTACGGATGGTTCTTTTTAAAGATTAAACCACTAAAATAGTAAGAAGCGGATTTCACATATTTCAGAAACTTTGAAGTAGTTTCTCAGCAGGTTACTTAAAAAGTTCAAAAGAGGAGCAATACGACTATTATGGAAACATTACTACCATATATGATGGGACAAATGTAGCAGCCAAATATCTTACATAATTCACACATTTCCTTTCTTTAACAAAGATCTGTCATCCAATGCAAAGTCTTGCATTTACCATTGAAAGTCATTTGACAACCAATACTGTTGTTTTTTCATTATCATGCTATATTTAATATGCACAACTGTCAAATTGTAGACTTTTAAAGATGATACTACAGTATATGCAGCAAGAAGAGTCTTAAAGTAGAAATATATAGAAAAGATTTAACCACTGTCTGTAGGGGTGTGTGTGTTTAAGGATGCTGGATGCTCAATAATGCATCAATCGACCTGTAGCTCATTCTTTAGAGCGTCTATTCACCTGAGGACGGATGACTCTCTCGATGTTCTTCAGGGCTGTGTCGGGAGAGGGGGGTGAGCAGTCGGGTGTGGGGCCTGTTGAGCAGTTGTCATGGTTACCATGCTCCTCCCCGCTCACGGCAGCATGGGACAAGTGACCTTGGAGCAAAAGGACAAGTCAGAAGCAGGTACAGAGACAAAACAAAGATTTGTTTGGTTTTCCCATGCATAGTTTTAAAATAATTTTTTTCTCCTTAACATTTTCTGAACTGTTCAATATGTTTTTATACTAAAACTGTTAAAGAAAAAAATAACACAAGAAGTTGCAGTTCAAATGGGAAATAATGACACTCATAACAGTTAGGGTAAAATGATCAACAGGTCAATATATTTAGAAGAAAAAATTACTTATATTTTCATTACAAAAATACAAACATTAGCTGATCTAAATTATTTATTTACTTTGTAAAACATGAAATTCTGATAAAACCAAAGCAGAATTTGTTAAATAAAATATTAACGGGTTGGACCCCCTTTTGCCTTCAGAACTGCCTCAATTCTTCGTGGCATAGATTCAACAAGGTGCTGCAAGCATTCCTCAGGGAGTTTGGTCCATATTGACATGATGGCATCACAAAGTTGCCGCAGATTTGTTGGCTGCACATCCATGATGCGAATCTCCCGTTCCACCACATCCCAAAGATGCTCTATTGGATTGAGATCTGGTGACTGTGGAGGCCATTTGAGTACAGTGAACTCATTGTCATGTTCAAGAAACCAGTCTGAGATGATTCCAGCTTTATGACACGGCGCATTATCCTGCTGAAAGTAGCCATCAGAAGTTGGGTACATTGTAGTCATAAAGGGATGGACATGGTCAGCAACAATACTCAGGTAGGCTGTGGCGTTGCAACGATGCTCAATTGGTACCAAGGGGCCCAAAGAGTGCCAAGAAAATATTCCCCATACCATGACACCACCACCACCAGCCTGAACCATTGATACAAGGCAGGATGGATCCATGCTTTCATGTTGTAGATGCCAAATTCTGACCCTACCATCCGAATGTCGCAGCAGAAATCGAGACTCATCAGACCAGGCAACGTTTTTCCAATCTTCTATTGTCCAATTTCGATGAGCTTGTGCAAATTGTAGCCTCAGTTTCCTGTTCTTAGCTGAAAGGAGTGGCACCCGGTGTGGTCTTCTGCTGCTGTAGCCCATCTGCCTCATAGTTCGACGTACTGTGCGTTCAGAGATGCTTTTCTGCCCACCTTGGTTGTAACGGTTGGTTATTTGAGTCACTGTTGCCCTTCTATCAGCTCGAACCAGTCTAGCCATTCTCCTCTGACCTCTGGCATCAACAAGGCATTTCCGCCCACAGAACTGCCGCCCACTGGATGTACATTTAAAATAAATCTGTAATTTATTTAATATTAATAAGTTTTTTATAATGTATGATAAAAAATTGCATCAATTGGGTTTTTCTTTTAGTCAGTGATGACATCAGCAAATGGAGTAACTTCTATGACTAGTACTCTACTATAAATGCGGATTTTTTTGTTGTATCACAAATCATCAATGCTTTTTTTCTTTTTAACTAAAAAATATCTATAAGCCACAGTTTCAGCGCATCTTTTGATAATTGAAACACATGCAGATGCCTTCTTTTTTTTCCCACTGCATGGGAGTGACATGTTAAAATCAAATTGGTTTGTAGTAAATCAAAATACAGCACCTCACTTCAAATCAAAGTCAATTCTACTTCATAAACATTTAGATTTTCCTCTTTTAGAATATAAAAATCTACAGGTGCTGGTCATAAAATTAGAATATCATGAAAAAGTAGATTGATTTCAGTAATTCCATTTAAAAAGTGAAACTTGTATATTATATTCATACATTACATACAAACTCATATATTTCAGATGTTTATTTTGTTTAATTTTGATGATTACAAATGACAACAAATGAAAATCTCAAATTCATCATATCAGAAAATTAGAATATTACTGAAGACCAATAAAAACAAAGGATTTATAGAAATGTTGGCCAACTGAAAAGTATGAACATAAAAAGTATGAGCATGTACAGCACTCAGTATTTAGTTGGGCCTCCTTTGGCCTGTATTACTGCAGCAATGCGGCGTGGCATGGAGTCGATCAGTCTGTGGCACTGCTCAGGTGTTATGATAGCCCAGGTTGCTCTAATAGTGGCTTTTAGCTCTTCTGAATTGTTGGGTCTGGTGTATTGCATCTTCTTCTTCACAATACCCCATAGATTTTCTATGGGGTTAAGGTCAGGAGAGTTTGCTGGCCAATTAAGAACAGGGATACCATGGTCCTTCAACCAGGTACTGGTAGCTTTGGCACTGTGTGCAGGTGCCAAGTCCTGTTGGAAAATGAAATCTGCATCTCCAAAAAGTTGGTCAGCTGCAGGAAGCATGAAGTGCTCTAAAACTTCCTGGTATGTGGCTGCGTTGACCCTGGACCTCAGAAAACACAATGGACCAACACCAGCAGATGACATGGCACCCCAAACCATCACTGACTGTGGAAACTTTACACTGGACTTCAAGCAACGTGGATGAAGTGCCTCTCTTCTTTTCCTCCAGACTCTGGGACCTTGATTTCCAAAGGAAATGCAAAATTTACTTTCATCAGAGAACATGACTTTGGACCACTCACCAGCAGTCCAGTCCTGTTTCTCTTTAGACGCTTCTGACGCTGTCTGTGGTTCAAGAGTGGCTTGACACAAGGAATGCGACAGCAGAAACCCATGTCTTTCATACGTCTGTGTGTGGTGGTTCTTGAAGCACTCACTCCAGCTGCAGTCCACTCTTTGTGAATCTCCCCCACATTTTTGAAGGGGTTTTGTTTCACAATCCTCTCCAGGGTGCGGTTATCTCTCTTGCTTGTACACTTTTTTCGACCACATCTTTTCCTTCCCTTCGCCTCTCTATTAATGTGCTTGGACACTGAGCTCTGTGAACAGCCAGCCTCTTTAGCGATGACCTTTTGTGTCTTGCCCTCCTTGTGCAAGGTGTCGATGGTCGTCTTTTGGACAACTGTCAAGTCAGCAGTCTTCCCCATGATTGTGTAGCCTATAGAACTAGACTGAAAGACCATTTAAAGGCTTTTGCAGGTGCGTTTGAGTTAATTAGCTGATTAGAGTGTGGCACCAGGGGCCATCAATTTTGAACCTTTTCACAATATTCTAATTTTCTGATATGATGAATTTGAGATTTTCATTTGTTGTCATTTGTAATCATCAAAATTAAACAAAATAAACATCTGAAATATATGAGTTTGTATGTAATGTATGAATATAATATACAAGTTTCACTTTTTAAATGGAATTACTGAAATCAATCTACTTTTTCATGATATTCTAATTTTATGACCAGCACCTGTATTTGGATAGTTGAGAAGCCCTGATGGGGATTAGGAAGGAACAGATTATTTAATCTACTCCTTGTTATATACAACCAATGGTGATATTATAACCAGTTATACGGCAGTAAACAACGTGTCACAGGTGACATTTTTAGGAAATATTGCTGGCCTGTATTTAATAGTTTTAAATAAAAGAGTGAAGCTGAACCAGGTGCCCTGGCATAGTACTGTACTGTTGTTTGAACCGGGTTCAGCGTTACACTTAACATGTTGCATACCTCCACCCACGACACTAGCAATCATATGCGTGATAGCATAAGGCTGCGGTGAGATTTATTGTGTAATGTGAAAAGCAGCATCTCCTCTGCCATTACTGGAAGCGCGTCCCACTCCAACGACCTCCTCCGGAGCCCCCAGACGGTCAGGAAAATCAAAATAATGTGGATTACAACAGAATACATTAAACGGTGTCTTTTCTATATGCAGTGTTCCATACACTGTTCTTTTATAAAAGAAACTAAATTATTCTGTCCTCTTATTTTCACAAATCTCTGCCTCTCTGTATCACTGATGGCAGAGCTCCGCCCTGACACAAAGAAACATGCAACATGCAGAGGTGAGCGCACGTTCCTGCCTGTAAACACAGGCCATACTGGGAAATATGTCACCAACACCTGCAAAACAAGCTAAAAACGTCTGCATTTTAAGACCTGCTTAGAGATGTGGAGACAGCAGCACTTTCTCTCCTGCAAGCAGCAGCAATTCTCCTTATCCACCTATAGAAAACTGCTTAAGTGCTTCAGGCAGCAGACCTTACCAATAAGCAGGAGACATCACTTGGTGACAGCTGTTGACCTGTTCGAGGAGAAATAACTCCCCTGCAGTACAAAACTGACTTTAGGAAATCCGTATGAAAAGAGTAAACTAATCGGTAAAGATTGATAATTAATTGATATAGATAAAAATATGGAGAGAAACAAAGTCTAAAATCTGTTTCCTTCCAGTGCTTCCATGCTCTTCAAGATGCTGGAGGAGGGAGCTCTCCGCTACAGACAGAGTAATTCATTATTTTTACAATGACGCCTTCAGCTTAAAGTTACCATTATTTGAAGTTATTAGCCATTACTTTTACAGCCAGACATTTACTGTAGTTGCAGATTAGGACTAACACCCCTAGCAGGCTACAGGAAGACCATCTTGCAGCCTTCACGTGGCTTATAGTAAATGGACCAGATGTCTCTTAGTTTCCATACACCGAGGCTCTGGAAATGTTCTTCCAGAAGCCCTCTCAATGCACTGCAGTAATATACATTTACTCCAAGCTATGCACTGTTTAAGTTGGGCTAAAAAATGCACATTTTAAATTGATTAAAGCAACTGTTTTATCGCTTTTATGAAAAGAAACACATGCTAATAATGTCTGTCTCCCAGCAAAGATGCCTTTCCTTGGTGGAAAACAGAACAGCCATAGCAACAAACACTGAATACAATGCTGCCCAGAACGGTGATGTCTTTCTCAGCCATAACTCTAAACACAGACGCAGCGTGTGTGGCCAGAGAGTGTGGAGATAATTTCCCCAGTGTACAGCCATTTAACAAGAGATAAGAGGGAAGGACAGAGGAGAGCGTAGATGAAATAGTCAAAGCGTCTTTTAGTGTGCTGGAAAACACACAAAAAAACAAAAACAAATGTGCTTTGTCGCAGTACAGTGGGCAGAGGGGGTGAGATGCATACACAAATATAATTGCAGCTCTCTGTCAGCTGCT